CGCAAAAAACGCCGTCGCCACAGGTTGGTACTTGATCCCTTTCAGCTTCTATCTCTCTCTCTCTCTCTCTCTCTATTCCTCTTAAAGTGTCTATCTATTCTTGGTCTCAATCAACCTTCACCTCACCTCACCTCTCCACCCCCGTCGGCGTCACCATCCGCGGTATGCATAAAAGCCGTCCAGTTTGAGTGTCTTCTTTTGTCGTGAGGCTAATCTCGGCCGTTTTGTTGAGTTGCCGTGTTGCATCTTCCATGTCCATCCTCTGTCAAGCATCATATTTGAACAGGACAGACTCGTCGTTCGACGAACTGGCCGCGATCAGATTGACACTTCGGCTACAACGCATCGTGTGTCCCTTGCACGATGTACATACCGGCCATGCATTTGGACCAATCGCAGCTCGTCCAGTCCTCGTTGCCAGGAGGGAAGCGTTGCGAATTGGGCGAAAGGTGGTGTCGAACCTGTGACCTGACCCGAAGGGAAAACATGAGTCTGGTGGATGTGCTCTTCTAATTGAAGCCGGACATGGGCCGACAGACACGTTCGACTGGCACACAAAGGCGGCCCGACCTCGGCTCCCCACCCTCTTGCCCCGAGCGCTAATGCTACTCCCGGCCAGGGTCATAATACACCTGCAGGCACAACACAACTCGGCTGTCTGCACAATCGTGTCCATGCCAGAGTCGGTACGCCCACCGAATGGACGGCAGAGCTGAGTAACCTAGGCAATCGGGCCGAAAGAAATCACGTTTTTCATTGCCTGCTCTTATCACCCCCCAATTCATATTACCACAAAAATCACCCCAGTTGTGCGTGTGGCTAGCTTGTCTGTCCAAAAGTGTAGCGTATTGTGTGTTGTGTTGTGTTGTGTTGTATTGCGCTGTGTGTTTTACGATTTACGAGCCTGAAAGTTGGTCAGTTGGTCAGTTGGTCTTGTTGAGCCGAGGCTGAAGTGAGCATACAGACACGGCATCCGAGTCGACGGGGAGCCCAGCATTGGAATCCCCTTTGAGAGGCCATCTTGGACGCGGATTTGGTATTCTCGAGACACGCTTGATTGATCAAAGCAGGCGAGCTCAGAAGGCGGACGAGCGGACGAGCGGACAACACGACGACCGTGTTGCGTTGTGTCCAAATGTGGACCGATTAAGCTGTACCAGCTCTTCTGCCTTCGAGTCCTCCTTCGGCCCGAGTTGCAAGTTCACCTGCAGCCTTTGATCCGCACACCATCAGGCAAAATGAGGAGACTTTGCTTTATTTTTCCAATTAAGTATTGTTTTCGTGACTACCAGTTAATCAGTAGTATGAGATGTATTCACACAATTTCGTTTAAGGTAATGAAGGACTGGTAGAAGAAGAATTTTCCCACAATCATATGAGTTGAGCTATGTGAAATTGAATGGAATCGTCAGCTCAACTTATATGATTGTGGGAAAATTCTTCTTCTACCAGTCCTTCATCACCTAAAACGAAATTGGGTGAATACATCTCATACTACTGATTTACTGCTAGTCACGAAAACAATACTTAATTCGAAAAATAAAGTAAATTCTCAATAAGAGATGTATTCACACAATTTCGTTTAAGGATGAGAACAACTTTTGGGTAAGCAAGGCAATGTGAAATTCAATGAAATCGTCAACTCAACTTATATGATTGTGGAAAAATTCTTCTTCTACCAGTCCTTCATCACCTCATACAAAATTGGGTGAATCTCATCTCATGAGACTTTGATTGTTCGAGCCGCCCAAAGCTGTGTCGAAGAGTGGCAGTGGCCTCGACACCGTCTCATCCTCAACGCCGGCTCAGTCCGAGCTGACGGTCTTAGGATTTAGCAAATAAACTGCTGATAAAACGTTAAAATAAAACACCGATTTGAAGATAAAGCCGGTTAGTTTCGCCATACCAGAAGCTGAAAAGCCGCCGAGCACTTCTCTTTCCTTATTGTCGCTTGCTTGACAACATTTAATCTTGTATGCCCCTTTCAGTATGTGCGCATCTGTGTGTGTGTGTGTGCACTCAATGCACTAATCTGACACCGCCTGAGTAGACAAGCAAGCGAGAAGGCATTTGCATTAGTCTGTTCAAACTCATTCATGCGAGGGGTTAATACAATTGCAATAGTAAATTGTAAAAATTATAAAAGCCTGAATTAATTGTACACTTATTAAGACTTTCAATAAATGTACGATTTAATTAATAAAAATATATATTCCTTAATAGTTAAGTTTTTGTTAAAACTCATATGAAAATTTAGAAAACTACTCAATCAGAGTAGAGTAATATAGTCGACTGTCTTAACAAATTTTTTGTTTATAATTAGCGTTTCGAGACTACCAGTAAATCAGTGCTATGAAATATATTATCTCTAGTTCGTTAAGGTGATGATGAAAGGTGGTTATGATTAAAAAAAAGAAGTAATGCAGTCGATTTTCGTGGCAAATACAACTTTGACCTCCTTGAAATGCACATCTGCTCTGTGACCCAAGGAAACTCTGGCAGTCTGGCGTAGTGGTCAACCTCAATCAGGATGGGGATACCTCTTTGGATGGCAAGGCTATGCAAAATTGAATGAAATCTTAAGGTCTACTCATTTGATTGTGGAAAAATGCAATTACCATTCCCTCATCACCATACACGAAATAGGGTGACCACATAGTATACACCTTCCAAATGTTGAAGAAGTCGGATCTTGCCTTGTAGGCCTCTTTCAGAAAGGAGGATAAGCGATTTTTGAGCAAAAATAGTTTTTAGTGTAACGAAGCTATGACATAATCTTGTAATTAGTTCAGTGCTAAAATTGCATTCACATTGGCTGTCTTTTCGCTTCCATTTTTGTTGAAATATCCCATCCCTCTGAGTGCAGCAGGACCATATTCACTAGCTTCCAATTGGATGAACTCGAGAAGGCCTTCATAGAAGCCCATTATCCTGACGTCTATCAGCGTGAGATGCTGTCATCGCGGACAGAAATCCCCGAAGACAGAATACAGGTACTCTTTATGATATAATTTTGCTGAAAGTTTTCCTTCACTCCGTCTTCGGATGAAGGCCTATGCATCCTGTTTTCTATTGTGCCAGAATAGATGCAATACTATTCTAGGCTCATTTTGCCAGAGTGAGACCTGAGTAGGATTGTCG